TGTGTGTGTGTGTGTGTGTGTGTGTGTGTGTGTGTGTGTGTGTGTGTATTTTTAATAGAAATGGGTTTTCTCCATGTTGGCCAGGCTGGTCTCGAACTCCTGATCTCAAGTGATCCACCCACCTCAGCCTACCAAAGTGCTGAGATTATAGGCATGAGCCACCGCATCCAGCCTCCTTACTGAATTCCTAAGGACTGCATGTGACTTTTGCCTTACCTGCTGATTTTAGAACTTAATGCCCCTGCCTCCTTTACATGAGATTCCACTGCAGCTGGTTGAGCCCCTCCTGCCTTCCCTAATCTCCCTCTTCCACAAGGTCACAGGGTTTTGGTCCTGCTGGGACATGCAGGCTGACCTCCTGGCTCTAGTGGTTTACCATCCCACCCGAGACACAACACACACTCGTGACTTGGCATCTCAGTGCCCTCATGATCTGACCCTTGCCTACCTGCCTGATGGTCAATGCTCAGCTCACCGCCCCCCAGCCTCAGGGCCTTTATTCAGTTCTTCAAACCTACCAGCTTTTCCTACCCGAGCATTTGCACACACTGCTTTTTTTGCCCGAACATCTTCCTTCTGTTCTTGGCAGAGTTGGCTCCTCCTCTCCATCAGTTCAACCTATTGTCCGTCACCTGTCAAGGAGGCCATCCCTGACGCCTCTTTCTAACATAAGTTTGCATCACCTTGCTTGTTTCCTTCCTAGCCCTTGACAGTTTGTAATTGTTTGGGTTTTTTTTCTACTGGGTTCTTGTCTCTCTTGTCACTAAATTGTAAGCTCCATGATAACACAGAGTGTCTGGTGCACAGAAGGAGCTCAGCAAGCGTTCTTTGAATAAATAAATGAATGAATGAATGAATGAATGAATGAACGAACGAATGAACGAGTTTGCCTCCATGCCCCAGAAAGTCACCTCAAATGCACTGGCAAAAGAGAAAGTTCCTATAGAAGGAGCATCCCTTTCCTGCTCAGAACACTTCTGCAGTCCCTCCCTACCCACAGAGGCAGGCTGACCACCACTTGCTCAAGCAGGCAAGTGTGGGGCATGAGGTTAAAAGACCCCAGTCCAAGTCCCACTCTTGCCACTTGCTAACGAGGCAACATTAACGAAATCAAGCCGCTCTGAAATCAATTCCTTTCTGTAAAATGGGAGAAACACTTCCTGCCATTTCTCCTGGGGTTGCAGTAAGACACAGAAATCTCTGCACAGATGATTTTCAATGTTCTAAGTCCTGAGTTCTGAGTCTTCACCCTTCAGAACTGATTTCTCCCTCTCTCGACATCCATGCCCATTTTTCCGGCCTCGCCCAGCTATTGGTACTTCCTGAACGCCACTCTGTACATTCACACCTTGATGCTTTCCCTCAAAAGCTGTGCTCTTTGTTTGGAAAGCCCATTTTCTGTCTTCTTCATCTGTCCAGATCCTGACCATCATGAAGTTCCCCTGCCTCTGGGCTCACTTTATCTTTGATGTCTGTTTTACACCAGGGAATGTCTCCCTCACTGCACTCTGAGCCCCTTCTCTGGGTCCAAACTGCTAATCCCATCACACACTGCACTGCTCCAGCTGGACCAGGACCCATGCTCAATGATGGTACTTCAAAGTGGAGGAAGACCCCCGCTCCACTTTCAAGAGGGCCACCATCTACTGGGATCAGAGAGCCCACAAGCACTTGACCACTTTTTGCAGGCTAGGAGAGCAGAGTGGTTAGGCACACTTGCATAGATGTCAGACATACCTGGCTTTCAATCTCAGAATGTGTGGAATAGAAACCTAACTAAAATGGCTTAATTAAATAGGGAGTGTTTTTCTCAAATAGTTAAGAAGACCAAGGTAGGTATCCAGGGCTGCTACAGAGTTTCCATGGTGCATGGAGGGTTCAGTCTTCAACTAGATTTCACTCTGCCTTCCTTGGCATGGGCCATGAATTTTCTTCTCTGTACCTGTGTTCTCATTTGTAACATGGGAATAACAGTATCTTCCTTATAGGGTTGGTTTAAATATTAAATGAGTCAATGTAGATAAAAAGCTTAGAACCGTACCTGGCTTTATATTAAGTGCTCTATAGGCGTTAGCTGTTATTGTTACTATAATTCTTTGCTTATGCTGAAAAAAATGGCTGCTGTCTTCTAGGCATCACATCCTCATCCCTGGCAGAAAAAGATGAAAGGCAAAGCACAAAAAGTGAGTGCTGGCTGAAACCATCTGTTGGTTTTTCCCTTCAATTGAGGGGAAATCAATGTAATATAAAATTAGCTATTTAAAAATGAACAATTCAGTGGCACTTAATACATTCACCATGTTTGTGCAACCACCAACTCTATCTAGTTCCCAAATTTTTTTTTTTTTTTGAGATGAAGTCTTGCTCTGTAGCCCAGGCTGGAGTGCAGTGGCACAATCTTGGTTCACTGCAACCTCCACCTCCCGGGTCCCAGTTCAAGCAATTCTACCTCAGTCTCCCAAGTAGCTGGGATTATAGGCACAAGCCACCATGCCTGGATAATTTTTGTATTTTTTAGTAGAAATGGGTTTCACCATGTTGGCCAGTCTGGTCTTGAACTCCTGACCTCGTGATCCACCCGCCTCAGCCTCCCAAAGTGCTGGGATTACAGAGGTGAGCCACCGTGCCCGGCCTTCAAACATTTTTATCACCCCTAAAGGAGCCCTTGTATGTATTAAGCAGTTGCTCCCCATTCTCCCTTCCTCCCAGCACATGGTAACCACCAGTCTGCATTCTGTCTCTGTGAGTTTACTCATTGTAGATAATTCCTATTTTTGTTTTGGAGACAGAGTCTCACTCTGTTGCCCACGCTGGCATGCAGTGGCATGGTCTTAGCTCACTGCAACCCCCACCTCCTGGGTCCAAGCGATTGTCCTGCCTCAGCCTCCTGAGTAGTTGGGATTACAGGTGCCTGCCACCATGCCCAGCTAATTTTTGTATTTTTAATAGAGATGAGATTTCACCATGTTGTCCAGGCTGGTCTTGAATTCCTGACATTGTGATCCACCTGTCTCAGCCTCCCAAAGAGCTGGGATTGCAGGTGTGA